GGTTGTTTATAGTCCTTCCTCCTGACACCCTGTACGATGCCATTCACAACCAGAAGCTTGAGGCCAGGTTTGGGTATAAAGACCAAACATTGGATTAAAGTTGACGAGACCAAATGCTTTTGAGAGGTGTTGCAGGCAAAGCGTTTCTCAGGGATCCAGAAGATGGAAAAAAATGTGTTGCCTCTTACATTTAACATTCTTACGAGAATACGCCTTCTGTGCTTGGTCAGGGGCTAGTCTGTCAAACTGTATTTGCTGAGATAATTCCATCTCCCCTAACTTTATTTAACTCAAGTGTCATGTTGATTCAGCAGAGTGTGAGACACGGTCCTTGGAATTGAATATAAAACATTGTTTCTATAACTTAGATTTTTATGTCCTCTTTAATTCTTTGGATATGCACGCTTCTTGTGTTTTACAGATGTCACTGCTTGTTTCCTTGTAAGGAAGGGAGAGGTGGCAGCATCTTCATTTTGCTTGGGCTTTGAGAGTCTCATAGTGCAAGTTCCTAAGCTGAGATATGTTATTGAAAGTCTGTCACATTGGACATAGCCATTTTTATTCACTCAATTCCAGTGTTGTACTATTTTAGTGTTTCACACAGTGCCTTCCTGGCACATGGTAGGTACTTGCTGAATACATGGTGAATGAATGAAATGAATCCTCATGGTTCTCCAGTGCCTAAAGAGTGAATTCCAACTGTGTAGCGTTGAATGCAGAGGGTGTTTTTTGTTTTTTTTTTGCAGGGTAGCCGCAGCCTACCCCTCTGCCCTCTCACTCTCACACATAAATGCATATTCCTTGTCTTCGAACACCATCAGATTTCTCACTACTCTTTAAATTTAATTAAGTTCTTTCACAGCTTCCTGCTTTCATAAATGATTCGATGAATACACATTTTTTCCAACTCTGCTTTTTCCATGTTGCTGAGGGGGGTCATTGCATCATCATTTATAAGCATCTAAAGATTTTGTTTATTTGTTTGCTTTAGTTGCATCTTTCAGCTAATCTTCCCAGTTGCCCACGTCACTCTCTGGTAGTAACTTGAGCTCTGAGGGAGTAGCAGTTACATTCTGAATTTCTGTCTGGGCAGGAGTCCTAACCTTGAGATAATGATTGTGCTTCATTCCTCCGTATTCGAGATCACAAGCCTTCATACACCTCCCCAGCTTGTGTGCTTACATTTTCTGTATGGTATGTTTTAATTAAAAATTAAGACCTTTTGGGAATCTTTGGAGGAACCATAGTGTCACAGGAAAAGGTTGAAAATGTTTGCATTTTTGTATCTTTCAGTCATTTGAGTTAACCCACCTGGGTCCGTGGGAAGATTTGGTACATGTTTCTGTTAATCTGAAGAGGTTTCTCCAAAACTTCGGCTCAGACTTTTATACAATTGCTTTGTCATGCTGGATTTTCTTTCATGTTGCACTGACCTTAGTGCCAATATTTCACATTTGTTTCTCAACGGTGCTCTTTGAGCTGCTGAACAATTCCTCTTGTTGCTCCTGTATTCCTTTCCTCTAGGGATTGAAACCCAGGGTGGGTGACATCCTTGCACCCAAGCTCTGTGAGGATACTGATGGTTTTTAAGTCCCTCATAAATTTGAATGTTAAACTTCACAGTTGGCTGTGGAGAAATAATCTACCTTCAGGTCTCAGGGAAACATCCAAAAGAAGGAAGGGGAAAGCGTAGGAGAATTTACTTTAGCACTGCTCATATATTTATTTTGAAGGCTGGCAGAATCTGAAAGTGGGGCTGTAAATTTAACAACTCAACCATAAAAGCCCCAGAATAAGGGAGAAAAATCTCTACTGCTTCTAGGTTTGGGGACTAACATAAAGTTATAAGATTTCTATTCTGCCATTTTAAAATACATCTTTTTAATTTCTAAAGCTATCCTTCCCTTTCTTCTCTCGCATTTTTATTTTGATTAATTACTTTTTAAAGGCTACAGTGCTTTGAAATGTATGGACATGTTTTCTGAACACAGTTGATAGATTTGGCCATGACGTGGATGACTATCTGCACCTTATGTAACACTGGGTGATTTCAGTGAGGTGGGGGCCGCACATGGTATCAGTTCTTGTGGGAAAATATGCTTCAGTGGCTTACTGGCACTGCTCTTGGAATGTGGCATTTAAAAGTACCTTTTTACAGTGGGAAAGAATTCTGTCAAGAATAAACAGTCTGACCTTGTTAAATGGGCCAAAGTCAGTCTGTAACCTAGTTCCAGAAAACTAGCTTTTACTAGTTTAAAAAAAGCCAATTAGAAAAATTACAACTAAAACCTTCTAAAGAATGGAAAAAGTTACTGTGAAGGATATGAAATAGATTCCAGAAATGAAGTTCTTCACATATATACATGAAAATGTCTTTACTTGACTGTAAAATCCCACTTTCCCAGAGTAGATGCTACAGTTAGTCAGAAAAGCAGATTTCCTTTTTCCTGGAAAGACAAGACTGGCTTATTGAAAGGAGCTGTGGGAGGGGCCACGTAGCGTGGACCAGCCGTGGGAAACCAGCCGGCTTAGGGAGATGAAGAAGGAGTCAAAGTTGCCACCAACTCCCCTTTGGCCACAGGTTAAAAAGTCTGTGTACTCTGAGCTCTGGAACGCAGCAGTCTGCTCCTAAGCTTTCTCTTTCCCACCCACCTCAAACGCATCCACACAACCCCTTGGTCTTGCCACTCCAGACCTCTTTCCTCTTGCTTGAAATGACATGCCATTAGATTTTTAAAATATTTTACTTATTTATTATTGTACTATTTAAATATTTTATTTTGGCAGAGGTAATTAGGTTTGCTTATTTTTAAAGAAGGGACTGGGGACTGAACCCAGGCCCTTTTGCATGCTAAGCATGCGCTCTACCACTTGAACTATACCTTCCCTCCATGTGCCATCAGATTTTGTGCCTCCATGCCATTAGACCTTCTTTTCTCTGCTTAAACTACCTTTTCCGCTTCTCAGCCTAACAAACTCCTATTCATTCTTCAAGACTCAGGGCAAATGCCCTGTCCTCCGTGAAGTTGGCCTGACTGTCTAGGATAAAATTAGGCACTTCTTTTACGCACTTTTGATTTGCCTCTAATATAGCAGCTATCATATGATAGTGTCCCTATTGGTTCATTTGTTCCTTTTGTACCCAGACACAAATTGGCCAATATCCTCGTGACTTTAACTGGCAAGTTGAGGTTAAAAATGTAGCACATTTAGGATTTTGACAAGATTGAGTAAGCAGTCCATTTGAAGTGAGGAAAGAGTCTTCAAGTTTGAACTTTATTTAGTAATGTTACAGTTAGTCAGAATATAATCTTTGTCTTTTCTTCACATCTATTATTCTGTTTTTATTTCTATCAGGTTCCTTGACTTAAGAACGTGGAACTGAAATACTACATTTAAATGCCATGGTTCTGTTCCCATACCTGCAGTATAATCCAGATTGTATTTTCCATCAGGCTTCTTTTTCATTGGTTCATGTGCTCCTGTTTTTAAAGGAATCAGATTTTCTCAGTATTGATTATAGTTCACAAATATTGTCCTATCATATTTAAGAAAAATATATTCATCAGTTGCTTTAAATGGATGCTCTGTAATTTTATTTTTAGAAGTTTGATATAAGAAGACAGTTTTTGGAGAGAAAGAGCCCTATTTGTACGATATTATTTCACCACATTTTCTACAGGCATTTTTTTGCAATTTATTCTGCATTTCCCTTTGTAACATTTGTATCCATGAATCCAGTCCCTTTCTTTAAACCCTCATCTTTCTTTAATTAGTTTTTTTAAATCTGCATTCTTTTAAAGTTGCTAACATTATTCAAAAATTCAAATATTTTAGATAAGTAAAAAAATGAGAAGAGAAACTTCTTAATAATCTTTCCTCTAAGGAAAAAAAGAAACACTATCAACAGTTTGGTGAATGAACTTTCATATCTTTTTCTGTTTGTATGTGGGATGTGTGTGTGTATGTGTGTGTGTGTTTGTTTGTACCTGCTCACCCACGCACATAGTATCCACACAGGTATCCATCCATTGTTTGTTTGGGGTTTTTTGTTTCCTTTTTTCTGTTTAATTTACCTTACGTGTTCTTCCACATCTAACATGCAGCCTGTTTATTCTTTTTCTTACCTTCAGTGTGTGAATATACATAATATTTTTACCCAATCTCCTAGAATGAACCTTTGGGTGGTTTCTCTTTGGGGCTGCAGTGAACATCCTCGAGCTTGTATCTTTTCACCCAAATACTAATATTTTTGTAGGGTAAGTTTCAAGCAATGATATTACCAAGACAAAAGATGAAGAGTATACACATCTTTTTCTTTTTTATGTTTAGCTTTATAAGAAACTGTCAAATTGTCTTCCAAAGTAGCTGTAACATTTTGCATCCCCGCCACCCAGCAATGAATGAGAGTTCCTGTTGCTCCACATCCTCACCAGCATTTGGTGGTGTCTGTGTTTTAAATCTCCACCCTTCTAGTAAGTATGTTGTAGTATTTCATTATTGTTTTAATAGGTATGCACATTTCAAAATCTGATGATGCCAAATTGTTCTCCCAAAGGATTTCTCTTTTCCTCCTCTCCTTGTAACAGTGTGATTGAGCTTTCTGCCTCATCTCTTCTGAGTGTCTCTGGTGATCTCCTTTGTTGGCCTTTCCTGAGCTTCCTCTCCACGAAGAAAGCATCCTGAATGTTCCCACCTCAGCCTTTTAACAGATTTCACCAGGGACCATGACTTTAACTTTCATGTCTGTACAGAGGCATCCAAGTCATCAGCTCTGCCTGGGGTCCCCTCTGAGCACCAGACCCTCAACCCCACTCTTCCCTTCATCTCCACATGGTGTCCCATGGGCAACGGAAACATAACATAGCAAAAATGTCACCCACTAGCTTCTCCCGCCCCAGGCAACTCTGCTTCATGTTTGTTTTTAAAATTTTATAACTAGTAATCACCAAAACTGGACTCCTCAGCAGTCATATTTGGCCTTTGACCTCGCCGGCCCTTCCTTTTTCCTCTTCCCAGGACCGTATCTAGAGGCATTCAGAATGGTCCAGCGTTTGACATACTGTCATAGGCTGTTCTACAATACATCCTCTAACAAAACTAGGCTGTCCCAAACCCCTGGTAATAGAATTGTTTACCTTTATACCAAGAAAGTTGGGAAAGCACCAAAATCTGCATGTGGCGTGTACCCATGCCGACTTCGAGGTGTTCGCTCTGTGAGACCTGAAGTCCTTATGAGACTGTCTAAAACAAAAAAACATGTCAGCCGGGCTTATTGTGGTTCCATGTGTGTTAAATGTGTCCGTGACAGGATCAGGCGTGCTTTCCTTATTAAGGAGCAGAAAATCGTTGTGAAAGTATTGAAAGCACAAGCACAGAGTCAAAAAGCTAAATTTAAAAAATGAAGCTTTTTTGAGTAAAAAAAAAAAACTGGACTCCTCAGGGGTTTCTCTGGATTTGTTTGTGTCAGCAGGCGTTTGGTTACAGGTACAGAATACTCAATGAATTATATCTTGAATAACAGTAATTTTAAAATCTGACCTAAGAAGTCTAGAGGTAAATAATTTTGCAATTAGTGCAATTGCTCATTGGTGTCATCTTGATTCCTATAAGCTGTTATTTGGAAAATTCCATTCTCCCCTCCTCAGTGAATTATATTTTCCCTCGTGGTCTCAAGGTGACTGCTGCATCTTCAGGCATCACATCCTCATACCACAGTGGTCTAAGCAAGCAAGCAGGGGCCAAAAAGGGTGGCACTGCCTTTTTGATCAGGGAAGACGATCTTTTCCAAAAACTCCCTTCAGACTTTCACTTACCTTTCATCTCCCAGAACTGGATCATATACCTACCCACAGGCCAGTCTCACTACAGGTAAGCATTTTTTTGCTACCCAGGGGAAATCAGGTTATGTTAGTCAGGAAGAAGGGGAATGGCTGCTGGTAGACAAGCAACAATGACAGGCCTTCATTGATCTAGGAAATTCCCCAAGGCAGCAGGGCCGCTGTATAGGTAGAAACTTATGCTCTTGGTTCCTTTCAGAGGTGCACAGATATATCCAGTGATGTCTAATCAAATATTTTATGAAGTACGGTTCTTTTTTCCTTCGTGCTCCATGTATGTTACAGACATAAAGCTTTAGAATTTTGTGGGAATGTTGATTAGGCTAAGAATCAGTGCTTACCAGTCTCACCAGGACTGTGATACCTTAGGTTCCTTGGTAACAGTAATTAGCAAACACCAAGGGGCGGGCACTAGCAATCTGCAAAGAATCTACAGGTAACATCTTCACATGCAAACTTGACTGGGTGTGCCAGAAGCTAAGGATAGCTTTTAAAATGATGAAGCAATAAGAAATATTTGTTAAACTAATTACTTTTTAAAGGGTATTCATGTCATTAATGTATTATTTCAATATGTTACTATATCAATATTTATATTACAGGCATACCTCAGAGATATTGTGGGTTTGGTTCCCGACCACTGCAGTAAAGCAAATATCACTATAGAGCTAGTCACATGAATTTTTTGGTCTCCCAATGCACTTAAAGTTATGTTTACACTATACTATAGTCTGTTATTAGGTGTGCAATAGCATTATGTCTAAAAAACAACATACACATCTTAATTTTAAAATGCCTTATTGCTAAAAAAATGTTACCCATCATTTGCACCTTCAGTGTGTCATATAATCTTTTTGCAATCAGAGATCATGGGTCACAGATATAAAATAATAAATAGAATAATGAAAAGTTTGAAGTATTTCGAGAAATACTAAAACGTGACACAGAGATACGAACTGAACAAATGCTATTAGAAAAGTGACACCAACAGACTTGCTCGATGCAGGGCGGTCATAGACTTCCACTTTAAAAAATGCAGTATGTATGAAGCGCAATAAAATAAGGTATGACCATACTTAACTAATATGTTTATTAGTTGTTAATACATTTAGATATGGTTTTTAAGTAATACTAGTCACTTTTAAAAGCATGTGTATACATATATCTGAAGTTGCCTTTACTTCTCTTATGAAATAAACTTAAGGGAATCTAGGAGGCAGGCATTGTTCAACCTGGGAGAGTCAGGGAGTGCTTCACAGGGGAGGTGATTTTTGAGCCAGGTCTTCAAGAATGAGGAGGAGTTTGCAGACAAAGGAGAAAAGTGTGATCCAGGTACAGAATCGGGAAAGAGCAGAGCATATGCACAGAACAGTAAGAAGTACAGGTTGACAGCAGGGTGTCTTGGGAGAAGATGATCAGACTTTGTTTTGGGAGGTTTGTTTTTTTTTTTTCTAAAAGATAACTCTAATGCAGTGTGATGAATGAATTGATAGGATGGTTGGGCATAAATTAAGAAATTGCTGGCAGGGAGACCAGTGTGGAGGCTGTTTCAAGAGAGATATAGGATGAGGGGCTGAGTGAAGGCAGGAAAGAGAAGAGATAGAAACTGTCAATGTAGATACAGAGAAAAGCAGGGAAAACATCGCATGCCAAAGTCTGATATAAAATTTACCTTTGGAAAAAAAACCAAGAAATAAAATTGAATAAGTATCTCCAGTCATAATTCTCTTCATATTACACTGTTGTGGATAATAACATGCCCAAGACATAGAAGCCAATATCAATGTAACCATTAATATTTTTATTGGCAGCTATATAAGTATATGTAGTAATTTCTCTTGTCATGATGAACATTGCCATTCGAAATGAAATAGATCGTATAATGTAGACTCTGCATAAGACCTCTCACTGGTAGCTGTGTGAATCAGAAATTTTCTAATGGTTTAATGTTTATCCCAATTGTGACTAAGATGAATCTATCATATTTTTTTTCCACTTTTAAACAGAGCCTTTTCCTAAAAATATACCTTTTCATCAGGACCTAAATGATTAGCTTATTGGGCCTAAAGACCCATAACATGGTTATATTCTATCTAATTAGCCACCTGTCTTTCTGTTTCTGCTTTTTCATTCCCATAATCCAGCTTTTGGTAAAGCCAGCAAATTATATAGCTCACATGTGGTCATTATATGACTAAACCCTAATGAGGGTTATGTCATGTAAACAGCCACAAAATGCCGTAATTTACTATTTTCATTAGACAACAAGCACCTTGAGGGAGGAAACCGGGCGTCACATATATTATGCTCACTAAATAATAATTGGTAATGATGATGTGCTTTTAAGATGTTTATGTCCATTATAAAAGTAATGTATACTCATTATGGGCAAATTTGTGTGGTCTCGGTTTATCTCCTCCATTCTCTTGGTGCAGCTTGTTTATCCATTAAAAAAAAAAATGATAACAAACCCAGAAAGTCAAAGTGGGGTTTGAAAGAAAGATGTCAATAAATAAAGGTGTGAAATACTTTTTCACCCTTTTATTAGGTGTTTTCTTCTTGCAGCTGCTGACCTTCACTTTTCTTCCCTTACCACTCCTACGGAATGACAAGTTTAGAAATTAGGTATTGGATATCATTCCAATAAGAGCCTGTTGAGTTTGAGAATTTTTTTAAAAAACTAAGGAAAAATTATGCCATCACCACTGTGTGCCCTGCTTCCCCCAGAATGATGCACTTGGTAATGGCTGTTTCTCGTAAAAGAACATTGTCACTTTCTTGAGACCAGATGTAAAATTGGAAGAATTTGAGAAGATACCAGAATTTAGAACAGTGTATGCCTGGTTCTTTCTAATATCGCATTGGTTTACCGTGTGTTCATGTGTGTGTTTTCTATATCTCATCATGTATTGGTGAATAAATAGTTCACACCCTCCCAAGAGAATAAGTCCTTTCTTTTCTTTAAACAGTGACTCCATTGATCCTGTCTTAGAATTTCTTCCCTTGTTTCTCTCTTCCTTCTTGACAACCTTGTTTTTGAAGTCTTAAATTGATTCAAGTGTTCCTGGAATATTCCTTTCTCTCTTCTACCATTTCAACTCTAGGCAAAGAGATTTTTTTCCCTAGAAGTCTTGCTTCATTCAAGAAGCAGTAGGGCATAGCCCATTGTTTAAGGGACAGATTCTGGAACCAGACATTCTATTTGGGGTTTATCTTGCTACTTCACCAGCTGTGTGAATTTAAACAAATTCTTCAGCCTTCTCTGTGGTTCTTATTTGTGAAAATGGAGAAAATAACTGTACCTACCCTTTAAGATTGTTGTGGGAATTAACCAAATTAATACATGAAAAGAGTAAGTACTTGATACAGTCCTGTAACTGAATTACACAGCGCTAATATTCATCTTTGCATCTGAACATGAAGACAGGTTCAGAAATGAGTATGACTAATTAAACCATTTTCGTACTACTAACCATTTATTACCTAGGGACCACTCATATTAGAATTTAGGTTACTAACACCTCAGGGAGACCATTCTCTCCTTTTTCATTATTATTTAAGTGTTTCTCAAAAGGAAGAATGTTCCTAGTATTCCTGAGATTAGTTATGTTGAGGAAACTTTTCCACTATCAGTGTTCTGTAAACAGTGCTGAAGTTTGGAAAAAAATAAAACGAATTCTTTCTAAGAGTTACACACTGGTCTTTGAATATAAGAAAGTGAATATGCAAATCCAAACAGTTGCAGAATTCCCAGTGTGAGATCTCAGAAATCAGGGCTGTGTCTTCAGTCCTTACTCCCTGCTTACTTTCACGTGCCAGCCAGGTAGTCGAGAAACGGAGTTTTGACCCTGCAGCACAAACCTGCATGATTGTACTTTTCTTCCTAACCACCTGTAGGACAAACTGTAGAAGGATAAGAAAAAATTTTTTTCAGGAAGAACATGTTCTATATTTAATCTCTGTAGAAAGAAGGGAGATGACTGAAAATGAACAATTCCTAAATTATGAAAGTAAATTCCTTTCCTTACTGTAGTCACAATGAGCCTTTTAATCTTATTTCTAGACTAAACCATTTTGTATGTACCAGTTATTGCTGTCTGTTGGGGTTAGGTGCTCAGTAGTTAATATTCAGAAAGTTTCATTTCCCAGATAGGTGAGATTCTTCCCTGGTCAATAAGTGACTCATTGTACCAACCACGGATTAGGAATGAATGTCACAAATAACATGCACTTCTTTCCCATAGTCTGCTTAAGTAAGATGTGTCACATAAGACCTGTTCCAGCTATTAGCCTTTCCAAAAATATTAGTTAAAAGACATTCCTGAGGCTTTCAGCCCAGCCCTTGTATAACCTGCACTGTCTTGTTTTGTTTTACAAAGCCATGCAGGAATGCCCCCCATTCACAAAAGAAGTTGGTGCCTAAGCTAATAACCCAATGGCATATTCAGCCTGCCATTCAGGGAATTTGCGTGTGGCCTTTTATACAATCTCTCACTCTCTAATTTAGGTTTTCTAAAGCACGTTTGTCTTTGTGTTGCTCGTATCTACCTCGAGCCTGATTCAGGATTCAGATTAAACCATGATACTGTT